GACTGGCTGCACCATGCTTCTCACTCCTCCTCGCTTCCCCCTACCACTGCGCCACTCCAGACCGTGCACCTGGACGTTTGGGGCCCAGCCCCCCGTCCCTGGGCCGTGTCGAGATCGCTACTTTCTAGTGCTTGTCGTCGACTACACGCGCTACCCCATGGTGTTTCTCCTCGATTGGAAGGCCGACGTGCTTGACGCTCTTATCTCCTAGTTTGTAGCTACGCGAGTCCACCGTGGCCTCCCTGTGCTGCGGCTTCACTCCGACCGTGGCGGCGAGTTCGCTCTTGGTTGGCTTGGCCAATTCTGTCATGCGGATGGCATCACCCAGTCGTACACCCTGCCGGACTCCCCGCAGCAGAATGAGATCGCTGAGCGATGCATCGGTTTGATCATGGAGGTGGCTCGTACCTCCAAGATCCATGCCTTTGCACCCCATTTTCTGTGGCCGTTCGGTGTTCGCTACGCCGCTCACCATTTTAACATGTGGCCACCCTCCCAGCGGCCGCAGGTTTCGCCGACCCTCTTCTGGACCGGGTCTCATGGTGACGCGTCTGCGTTCCACGTCTAAGGCTACCTCGCTCACGTTCGTGCCTCCAGCACGAACAAGCTCATTGCTCGCACTGTCCCTTTTGTCTTCGTTGGCTTCCCCCTGGACGCGCCCTACTGGCAATTTTACCACCCGCTGTCTCACCATTTTTTTCACTCTCGTGACGTCACTGTTGACGAGTCTATCCCCTTCTACACCTGCTTTCACCACCGAGTTCTCCAGTTACCCCGCCTCTGTTTCTGATTCCCACTCCCTCGGTAGCCCCTGCTCCTCTCTCTCCCCAACCTGCCGCATTTGGTGTGTCTCACGTCACTCCCCTCCCGTCGGTTGTCCCGGTGGAGGAGTTGGCTGACTCTGTGGTCCTTGCGGCTTTGGTTTCGCCGCCTGTGTCCGCCCCGGTGTCTCCTCCTCTGTAGCCGCAGCATCCGCCACCGTCGCCTGTGCAGCAGCAGCCGTCGTCGCCGCCATCGCAGCCGCACCAGCAGATGCAGCCACCACCGCCGCAACTGCAGCCGCCGCAAGGGTCCGCGAGCTTTGGGGGTGCGGGCGTTGAAGAGGGTGCTAGTCCTGCGGGTACTGTCGTGGCTTGTCCCGGTGGTCCTGGGGGTGGCACTGGTGACGGAGAGGGTTCTCGTTCAGGGGGTGCTGGTTCTGGAGGTGCTACTGTTGGGGGTACTGTCGTGGCTTGTCCCGGCGGTCCTAGGGGTGGCACCGGTGTTGGAGAGGGTTCTCCTTTTGGGGGTGCTGTCGTGGAGCGTCCCGGAGGTAGCCGTGGTGGGGCTAGAGGTTCTGGCGTCGACGTGGAGCAGCAGCAGCAGTCGCCGCCGCTGTCCGCCCTTTGCCTCCCGGGTCTTCCCTTCCCTGACCGCCCACCTGCGCCTCCCCCGCCGCCGCCTCCTCCGCCTGTCTACGGCCCTGTGTTTCCTCCGTCGGACTCATCCTCGGCTCGTTTCCCCCCTCGTTCCCCTCCTCTGTCTCCTCCCTTGTTTCCTGACCCGACCCCCCCCTCCCGCTGGTGGTCTCACCTTGCCTCTCGTGCTTGTCGTGTTTCTCATGTTCAGCGCTCTCACCCTATGTTGATCCGCTCCCACACGTCCCGTGCTCCTCTTCTACCGTCGCCTCCTCAGTCGTCGTTTGTTGTCCCTCCGCGTCCTCTATTTGACTTCTTCCGTGCCACTAGTCCGCTTGCTCCTCACGTTCTCGCCTCTCTTGTTACCGACCCATCCGTTCCTGTCTCCTGTCTTGACGCTCTTGTCGCTGCCGTCGCTGAATTTGCGTCTACCTGCCGCCTTGACTATGCCACAACATGGGTCTCTTACCCTGCCCGTCCTCTGTCCATTGGCGGTGCACATGCCCTAGGCAGTGACGTCTTAGAGGACAGGCAGTACGAGCTAGCTTTCCTGTCTGAGGTCACTCCCCATCTCTGCTCCATGCTGCCAGTCCCTGAGGGTGACCTAGACACCCTTGATATCCCGAACCCTCGCACATACGCTGAGGCGACCTCGGGACCCTGGGCCTCTCAGTAAATAGATGCCATGAACGCGGAGATGGCATCTTGGAGATCCACCGGCACCTACGTCAACGCAGTTCCCCCACCTGGGGTGAACGTAGTCGATGGCCAGTGGCTCTTGAAGGTAAAGCGCCCTCCTGGAGAGCTGCCGGTATTCAAGGCGCGCTACGTTGCTAGAGGCTTCAGTCAACGCGACGGTGTTGACTTCTTTTAGACGGCCCTGACCCCGATGATGACCACTCTTCGGGCGCTGCTTCACGTAGCAGCACAGCGTGACTATGAGCTTCACTCCCTCGAATTCTCTAGAGTAGTATGCACGAGCAAGTCTACCGGCGCCATCCGCCAGGCTTCACGAGCACCTTCGCCCCTGGGACCAAATGGCTTCTCTGGTGCCCGGTTTACGGCCTGCGGCAGACGCCCCGACTGTGGCACGACACGCTGCATGCTACGTTAGCGGGCCTGCAATCTTTCGAGTCGTTTGCAGACCCTTCACTCTTCGTTCGTTCAGACCATACCGCGTAGACAACCTGGTCTTCGCTACTGCAGACAGAGACGCACTGGCCTCCGTCAAGGCTGAGCTGCTGAGGAGACACACCTGCACTGACCTAGGAGAGCTGCGCTGCTATCTTGGCCCGCAGATCTCCAGGGACAGAGCAGCGCTCACCATCACCCTTACACAATCACACTTGGTGCGCCAGATCCTTCAGAGGTTTTGTCTTCAGTTCTCCTCCGCACAGCCCACTCATCTGCCAGTAGATTACAGGCGTTCCGCTTCAATCTCTGAGGAGTCTGTAGAGCCTAGTGGTCCTTACGCATAGCTGGTGGGTTGCCTCATGTACCTGATGACTTGCACTCTTTTAGATCTCGCATACCCTCTCAGCATCCTTGCTCGCTTTGTGGCCACGCGCATACACCAACCACAGCACTGGGCTGCCGCTAAGAGGGTTTTGCGTTATCTAGCTAGTTCATCGGGCATGGGGCTAGTGCTAGGAGGACGCAGGTCAGTGGTCCTTACAGGGCATACAGACGCTTCGTGGGCGGACGATCCTGAGATGCTCAGGTCCTCTCAGGGCTACTGCTTTAGCCTTGGTGCAGGCGCCATCTCGTGGAGGTCCACCCGCGTGTCGTCTTTTGGACAGTCTAGCCGTGAGCTGAGATCTACGCTGGTGACATGGCGGTGAAGGAGCTCCGTTGGCTGACTTTCTTACTCACTGGATTTAGGTGAGAGGCCTAGCTCTGCCCCGGTCCTGTACGCTGACAACAGGGCCATGATCCTCCTATGTCAGGAGCCTCGACTAGAGCGTAGAGCGAAGCACATCCAGCTGCGGTACTTCCTCCTGCGCGAGCTACATCATCGACGCCAGGCCCGCGTAGGTCACTTGGCCTCGGGTGCCAAAACAGCTGATATCATTACTAAGGCGCTTGCACCTAAAGATCATCAGCGGCTCTGTGTACAACTTGGCCTAGTTCCAGTAGCTCCTCACTTGCTAGGACCTTGATTGTGTACTACTTTTTTATATATACTATTGATTGGCCTTGCGGCTTCTGTTCCAGTGGCTGGACTAGTAGTGCCGCCTTGGTTTGCTCTTGCCTATTTTGTACTCTTCTGTCTGGTCTTCGGACCCTTGCCTCAGAGGTTGGACTAGTAGTGCCACCTTGAGCTGCATGTCTCTTGCCAGGCACTGCCCCTTGTCTAGCCTAGGGGGTGTGTCAACTTATTTATATTTTGTTTTAGGCTAGATAGGTGCATGCTTATAAAGAGTACAGCACCATAGCACAAAACCTGCCTGTATGCCTCATTCTAGTCATTGCATTACTCTGAGACCACATGTCCCAAGGCTGAAGTCTGCAGCAGGGCATGGCAAATGTGTTGAAGTATAGTTTCCACTGTATGTATTCCTGTAAAGTCTTCCGCTGACTTTTACTCGTAGCTCCACCAACTCTAGATCCTGTCCTAGCCACCCTTAACACGTAGTTCACTTCAATAATATGTAGGAAAGTGTCAGAACTAGGAACTAGGACGCCATGAAAGTGGCGTGAGGTGTTAGGAGCTAGGAGAACTAGGAGGGGGAGATTTGACGAGAGAAAAGAGAGTTGACTAGGAAAAGATAGGGATACAAGAAGGGGTGTTGTACCCTCTACAGTAATGTTCAGTAACTTCTACCAAGCCTACAATTCAACACACCCCCTAGGCTTGGTAGCACAAGGACCCACATTCCCCCACACCCCCTAACCTAGCACCCCCATTCCCAGCAGCCACGACTACTCCAGCAGGGCCAACCCCAAGGCCCTGGAGATGGCGACGGCGGCAGTCCTAGCAGCGGCGACATCGACGGCGACGGGGGCATGCGGCGGCAACAGGCCTGCGGCGACGACAGCGGCGACGGCGACGGCTTCGGCTTACAACTGCGGTAACGGCAACGGCCCCCGCCCTTTCGGCAGCGTGTCCAAACTCCGCGGCAGGGGGACGACCGGCGAGAGTCAGGCGGCGGCTGTGGCGAAGAGGAGGAGACAGAGGGAATGGGGAAGGGGCGGGGCTTCGGATCTTCAGCGCGGCGCCATTGCTGGCGCGGCGCTTACTGGCGTGCGGTCGGGCTGCAAGTCCAGCAGCGACGCAGGCGCGACGGCAACAGGCCGACGACACCGCCACGGCACCACTACGACGCCACCACAGCGTGGCGTCGGAGCCGCGGCTGCTCGTCGACGCTGAGACGACAGCACACAGAGGCCGCTGCGGCATCTCGGAAAATGTGCCACGGCAGCAGGCAAACAGAAGGCCGCGACGGCGGCCAAGTAAGGACGGGTACGCAGCGGAAGCGTGGAGAGCAGGCCCGGGAAGGGCGTCCTGCTCTGAAACCATGTCAGAACTAGAAACTAGGACGCCGTGAAAGTGGCGTGAGGTGTTAGGAGCTAGGAGAACTAGGAGGGGGAGATTTGACGAGAGAAAAGAGAGTTGACTAGGAAGAGAGAGGGATACAAGGAGGGGTGTTGTACCCTCTACAGTAATGTTCAGTAATGTCTACCAAGCCTACAATTATATACGAACATATATAATTTAACAGAAAGTTCATCTCAACAGTCAGTTTTCACTAACCCAAGTATTTCACTTTCCTCTCGGCCTTTGCTGCCTTTGTAAGTCCCTGCAGGGCAGCTGCAGCAGGGCCTGGTCTGGTGAATGAAGGAGAGCTGAACGCACCAGGCAAGGTGAGAGCTTTGGAGAGCATCTTCTATACGAGCGTCACTTGCCCCTTGCTTTCTTCCACTGCTAAAAGTCCCTATATAACGTTTACGAGGGCTGCGATAGGGCCTGGTGCTCAACGCAGCTGTTAGTCTTGAAGATTGCGCTTGTAAGGACATCTCTTGCCCCTTGCCTTCTTCCACTGCTGGAAGTCTCTATACGACGTGCCCCAGGGCTGCAGCAGCGCCTGATGAATGAAGGTGAGCACAGCACAGCAGCCAGTATTGCGGAGCCTCGAAAAGTCCCTCACTTGCCCCTTGCTTTCTTCCACCGCTGGAAGTCTCTATACGACGTGCCCCAGGGCTGCAGCAGCGCCTGGTGAATGAAGGAGAGCTCGACGCAGCAGTCGGGGTGGCGTGCACTGGGCTCCACGTGGAAGAGCAAATAGCCCACGCTCTCGAGATGGTAGATTATTGGGAGGGTGATGTCAGGATTGTTTACACTGTGGGTTGTGAGAGGGGAGAGAGGACACAGGGGATCACATGGATTGGGTTTACTGGTCTGCACGTGGAAGAGAAGATAGCCCTCGCTCTCCAGGTGGTAGATTATTGGGAGGGTAATGTCGGGGTTGCTTACACTGGAGGAAGATGGGAGAGGGAAAAAGGTATTGGGTTGGCAAAGGTAGAGGTGAGAGGACTCAAAGCAGCATTCAGGGTGGCACGTGCTGGACACCACGTGGAAGAGCAGGTAGCCCACGGCCTCGAGATGGTAGATTATTGGGAGGGTGATGTCGGGGTTGCTCACACTGGAGTGGGACAGGGAAGAGGGAGCAAGGTATTGGGTTGGTAAATGTAGAGGTGAGTGGGCTGAATGCAGCAGAGTTAGGGTGCTGCACGCTGGGCTCAAAGGAAGAGGAGATAGCTCACGCTCTCCAGGTGGAAGACTATTGGGGGGTGATGCCAGGGTTGTTTGTACAGGGAAATGACAGGGGGGGAGGAACAGGGTATGGGGTCGGCAAAGGTAAAGAGGATTGGAGTGACTGAACGCAGCAGTTAGGGTGGCAAGCCTTGGGATCCACGTGGACTAGACGGTGGCCCATGCCCTCCAGGTGGTAGACTATTGGGAGGGTGATGCTGGGGGAGAAGAGACAATGGAGAAAAAATTTGAGGGCATGGGCCACCCTCAAAAGTAGATAATTGACTTCCAGTGTGCACAGCGGCAACGATAACAACTAGTGCGCGTGAGACAAACGATAACAACTAGTGCGCGTGAGACAACGATAACAACTAGTGCGCGTGAGACAACGATAACAACTAGTGCGCGTGAGACAACGATAACAACTTGTGCGCTACACTGATCGAGACACCCTGTTCTCCATACCCCTTATAAGCGCATCCCCCAGCCAGCCACCCACTCACTGGTGCAAGTCAATCAGTATCTGCCCAATCGCAGGGTCTCCAAACGGCTTCACTCTGCTAAACTCCTCCAACTCCCCCTCCCTTCCCTCCCTTCCCGCCCTTCCCTCCCCTCCCTCCCCTCCCTCTCCTCCTCTCCCCCCTCCACTCCCATCCCCAATCCCACTCCCTCCACCCCCTTCCCACACACCAACCCCCTTCCCCACGCCCCCCTCCACGCCCTCCCTCCTCCCCGCCTTGATATCATACACCATCGTCTCCTCGCACCCATCACAGTCCACCTTAAACACATCCACATAGGAGTGGTTATTCGCCGCCATGATCTCTCTAACCGTCATAAACTGCAGCCCTGGTCGGTCCACTTTTGCTCGCTCGATGACCCCCGCGCCGGCGAGGCCGATGGGGAGGAAGCGGAGGAAGGAGAGCGCTTGGAGGGAGGCGGCGAGGGAGGGGTCGAGGAAGGGGTCGAAGGTGAGGGGGCGGGTGAGAGGGAACTTGAAGAACATGTCCTTTTCGAACGAGTACTCGCCGCCTGACCCTATGCTGGGATGGGGGGGGGGGAGAAAGGAGTAGATACCAGGGAATCGTGTGAGCATGTAACCATGACGAATGGGTCAAAGGTGCAGAGGCGGAAAAAACACTTTTTTAAAGGAGTGTTTGCCATCGGATCCAATGCTGCAGGACAGGAGGGGAGAGCAGATGCCAAGGCAACGCCTGGGAAAACCTACCTGCCCACTACAGTGCGGTTACATTACGAATAGAAGTTCAACACACTGCACATGCCAGATTAGATATGGTCAACACTGCATTCGTTACATGTACAAGTGTATATGGCCTCAAGTTAACTTCACCTGTAAAATATATCCTACGTACACTCACTTGCACTGGTCTAGTTTTTAAAGGCGCCCCACAAACAAGTGTGAAGGCTTGACTGCACCTGATACGCAAATCCCAATCTCACCTGCACACGACTGGGTTATCTGGCAAAAATGCTTCCACACGACAATAGCACACCGGTCTTCAAAGGTCTTGTGTGACAATATCCGTGGGTGATTTTTTAGTCGACTAAAAAATAGACCCAATCTCACTCACCTGTACACGACTGGCTTGTCTGGTAGAAACGCCTTCATGTTGCACAGCCACTGAGCGATGGAGGATGGAAGAGATAGAATACAGGAACGGGGAACAGGAGAAAGAGAAGGAAAAGGAGGCAGTGGGAAGGAAAAGGAGGCAGAGAGAAGGAAACAAGATACCGGGAGAGAAACAGGAGATGGGTAAGGACTAACTCAGCCTAGCCTGACTCCGTTGGCTGTCGCAGTCGAATCTACCCTTTACTACAGGGTACGGGGAGGGAAACAGGAGATGGGTAAGGAATATCTCAGCCTAGCCTGACTCCGTTGGCTGTCGCAGTCGAATCTACCCTTTACTACAGGGTACGGGGAGGGAAACAGGAGATGGGTAAGGAAATGGCGATGGCAACATGTGAGCGAAAGGGAGTTTCATTCATGAGTCGATTTTTGAGGCGCCTCGAAAATCTACTCATCAGTGCTCTCCTGATTCAGGTGACGAAAACCACCTCGCTCCTCGCCACCCCCTTCCGCCCTTCCCCCTGCCCCCATGCCCCCCCTCACCGCCCTATGTACCTCTCACCCCGCCCATCCGCCCAGATTCCACACCCCTCTTTGGGGCAGGGGAAGGTGGGCACGAGGATGGCGGGCTTGAGAAGACTCGAGAGGTGCTTTCCTCTCACATCCCTCACCCATACTCTCACCTTGCAGCCGTCCGCCCGCCCACACCCTGACCCGTTCCTCCTAGGGGCAGGGGAGGGCGGGCACAAGGATGCGACCAATTTCAGAGGCAAACTAACCCTCCTCCCCACGCACTCAACGTTGCCCTCTCACCTTACGGCCGTCTGCCCACACGCCGACCCTCTCCTCCTTGGGGCAGGGGAAGGTGGGCACGAGGATGGACAGCTGGCTCTGCAGCACGTCCAGCTTGGGCGGCTGCAATGAGCCGAGCTGGGCGAGGCGGCGACGGAGGTTCATCTGAGATCAAGAAAGCGGCAGCGGCAACACAGGGTAGTAGAAGCTTGAGCACTGAGCATGCGAGGCACGGGGATGGGAAGCTGGCCCTGCAGCACGCCCAGCTTGGGCGGCTGGAGTGTGCGAGTTGAGAGAGGCGGCGACGGAGGTTCGAGGTTCATTTGATCCGCAAGAGAAGGCATCGCAACAGCAACGGGGGTAACCATGGGATGGCAATGGGGCGGGAAATCGGTACTCTGAGCATAGTGCTCTGGCAACAGGGACGGGACCATATCAACTTTAAGAGGTGTTTTTGAGAATTCTAAAAAACACCCTGCAAAATCGAGGTAAGTAAGAATCGGGTAAAAGTGGGGAGGAGCGGTGGAACAAGGCGCAGAGCGCCTCGTGGCAGTCACCTTGTACACGTTATTAGCATGCGCCAGCATCTGCTGCTCCGTTATAAACTCCTTGAACTCCTTATCGTCAGGCGGCGAGGGAACACTGCGAACCACGCCGCTGCTGCCGTACGGTCCGCCACCACTTGCCGCCGAGCCATAATAAACATTTCCGTTGGGATATTCCCCAGGGGGGGAGAGCAGGAGCAGGGAGAGGATGACGAGGATGACGCACGCGAGAGCGAAAAGCGGGCCCTGTAAGGACGGATTCGATACGGACGGATTCGGTACAGGCTTCTGGGAGAACGGGGGGAGAGCGGGGTTTCGGGGGAGCGCGTCGCGCGAAACCACTCGCATGACGAGTTGGCGATGATGGCGCTTACGAAGCGGACGAATGCGGTCAATGTGATATCCTGGTCAGGTGGAGTGTGGGAACTGTGTCCAGGAGAGAGGTGAGCTCAGGAGGAACTAAGCGAATTGGCTGGAATGGACTGGAAATTATGTTGATGTGAATCGCTCCTTTCTGCCCTTCACTCACAATCTCGAGAGAAACAGTACAGGGAGGAAGTTGGTAGGATAACCCAACCTTTTGATGTTTCGTCTAGCACCACATCCGAACGCACAGAACCCTTCTCAATAGCGTACTGTACCTCTCGATCACAGCTGCACATGTTACACGCCCTGGGCGAGAGGGCGAAATGGAAAGCTGAGGGGGAAGTTTCGTTTCGCGAAAGGCTCACGAGATGCTTTTGCCGCAACTGAGTAATCGAGTTTCCCCCTTCAACAAATGCATTGTTTCATTTCAAGGGCCCTTCCAGTCATTTTGATCCTTTTCAAGGTAAGGTGTCTCCAATATTGCCAAATTGGGTTGCTCTTCTCGTAGGATGCTCATACACTGTGCAATTACGGAGAAGTGGGAGCTAATGTTAGAAAGAGAGAATGAGTGGACTAGTGTGAGAAACCTAGAACATGTACCTGTTGGGGTTGTACTCACTAGAAGCACACACCTAGGCTAGCCTATAATTTCTACATACTGCAATTGTATAAGTTGACACACCCCCTAGGCTAGAGAAGGGGTGGTGCTAAGCAAGAAGCACACATCTCAGAGTGGCACTACTAGTCCAACCACTGAGGTAGGGGTCCTGAGACCAGTCAGCAAGAGTACAAGTAAGACTAAAGCAAGCCAGGGCGGCACTACTAGTCCAGCCACTGGAGGTAAGGCCACAAGGCCAGTCAGACAGGTATATATAATACAGAGTACACAATCAGGGTCCTAACAGGTGAGTAGCTACAGGAACAAGACCAAGCTGTACACAGTGCCGCTGATGATCTTTAGGCGCAAGCGCCTTAATAAAGATATCAGCTGTGTTGGCACCTGAGGCTAAGTGAACTACGCGGGCCTGGCGACGCTGCTGTAGCTCGCGCAAGAGGAAGTACCGCTGCTGGATATGCTTCGCTCTGCCCTCAAGCCGAGGCTCCTGACACAGGAGAATCATGGCCCTGTTGTCAGCGTACCGGACCGGGGCAGAGCTAGGCCGCTCACCTAAGTCTGTGAGCAAGAAGGTCAGCCAGCACAGCTCCTATGCCGCCATGGCACCGGCGTAGATCTCAGCCTCACAGCTGGACTGAGCAACAGACGACGAGCGAGTGGATCTCCAAGAGATAGCACCCGAAACAAGGATAAAACAGTAGCCCTGCGACGACCTGAGTGTCTCAGAGTCGTCTGCCCAAGAAGCGTCTGTGTGCCCAGTGAGGACCACTGGCCTGCGTCCTCCTAGCACTAACCCCATGCCTGATGTACTTGCTAGATATCGCAAAACCCTCTTAGCGGCCGACCAGTGCTGTGGTCGGTGTCTGCCAGTGGCCACAAAGCGAGCCAGGATGCTGAGAGGGTATGCGAGATCTGGGCGAGTGAAAGTCATCAGGTACATGAGGCAACCCACCAGCTCTGCGTAGGGGCCGCTGGGCTCTATAGGCTCCTCAGGAACGGGAGCGGAGAGCCCATGGTCTACATGTAGAGGTGTGGGCTGTGCGGAGGAGAACTGAAGACCGAACCTCTGAAGGACCTGACGCACCAAGTGTGACTGTGTCGGAGTGATGGTGCGTGCTGCTCTGTCCCTAGAGATCTGCAGGCCAAGATAACGACGCAGCTCTCCAAGGTCAGTGCAGGTGTGTCTCTTCAGCAGCTCGGCCTTCACGGAGGCCAGTGCGTCCCTGTCAGCAGTAGCGAAGACCAGGTCGTCTACGTAGACAAGGATGTAGAACGGAGTCTGGCCGGAACGCACAAACAGCGAGGGGTCAGCAGAGGACGGAAAGAACTGCAAGTCTGCTAGCGTGGCACGCAGCGTGTCGTGCCACTCACGGGGAGCCTGGCGCAGGCCGTAGACCGGGCGCCTGAGAAGCCACTGGGTCCCAGGGAGGAAGGTACCAGTAAAGCCCTGTGGTCGGCGCAGGTAGACCTGCTCGTGTAGGCTGCCCTGAAGAAAGGCAGTAGAGAAGTCGAGGGAGTGAAGCTCGTAGTCGCGTTGTGCTGCTACGTGAAGCAGCGCCCGAAGAGTGGTCATCTTCGGGGTCGGGACGAAGGTCTGGAAGAAGTCAACCCCCTTGCGCTGGCTGAAGCCTCTGGCCACGTAGCGCGCCTTGAAGACAGGTGGCTCTCCAGGGGGGCGCTTCACCTTGAAGAGCCACCGACCATCGACTACGTTCACCCCAGGCGGGGGAACTGCGTCAACGTAAGTGCCGGTGGACCTCCAAGATGCCATCTCCTGCTCCATGGCAGCTATCCACTGAGAGGCCCAAGGTCCCGAGGTGGCCTCAGCATAAGTGCGAGGGGTCGGGATGTCGAAGGCGTCTGGGTCACCCTCTGGGACTAGGAGCATAGAGCAGAGATGGGGAGCGGCCTCGGAAAGGAAAGCAAGCTCGTCTGCCGATCCTCTAGAACGTCACTGCCAAGGGCAGGTGCACCCCCGACGGACGGAGGACGGGCAGGGTCAGAGACCAGAGCGGTAGCGTAGTCAAGGTGGCGGGTAGAGGCGAAGTCAGCGACAGCCGCGACAAGCGCGTAGTCAGACAACGGGGGAGGTGCAACAACAAGCGACGAGGGAGCAGGCGACGGGAGGAGGGGAGGACGAGATGAGTGGGAACGGAGCAACATAGGGTGGGAGCGCAGGACAGGAGAGACGGGACGAGCACGGGAGGGACGGCGAGACCAAACGTGGGACGGAGGTGTAGGGTCAGGAGACAGCGGAGGGGATACAAAAGGGGAACGAGGAGGAAGACGGGCCGGAGACGAGTCCGGCGGTGGGAACACAGGGCCGGAGACAGGAAGGTGAGAAGGTGGTGGGGGAGACACCGGCGAGCGGTCGGGGGAGGGAAGGCCGAGCAGGCGAAGAGCGGAGACCGGCGGCGACGGCTGCGGCGGCTGCTGCGGCGGCTGGTGCTCGACCCGCGGACCGGCAGGGGCACGACGGCCGCTAGGAGAACACTCAACAGCAGCACCCCCAGAACCAACGCCCCCAGAGCGAGAACCGCCTCCAGCACGAGCGGCACCCCCAGGCCCGCCAGGACGTCAGGGGCCGCAGGACGAACACCCTCCTCAACGCCAGCACCCCCAAAGGCCAAGAGCGGAAGCGGCGGCAGCGGCGGCGACGGCGGTGGCGGCTGCGACGGCGGCGGCGGCTGCGACGGCGGCGGCGGCGGCGGCTGCGACAGCGGAGGCGGAGACACCGGGGAAGGGGGACGCGGCAAGGACGGGCCGGGGGGACCACCAGAGTCAGTAGACTACTCAACGGGGACAACCGACGGGAGGGGAGTGACATGGGAGACACCAGACGGGGCAGGACGAGGCGGGAGGGGAGCAGGGGCTACCGGGAGAGAGGGAGCCAGAAACAAAGGGGGGGGAACCGGGAGACCTCGGCGAGGGAAGCGACGGTAGAAGGAGACAGACTCGTCAAAGGTGACGTCACGAGAGTGAAGGAAGCGGTGAGACTACGGGTGGTAGAACAGCCAGTCAGCCGAGTCCAGGGGGAAACCGAGGAAGACACAGGGGACAGTGCGGGCAGTGAGCTTGTCCGTGCCAGAGGCACGAACGTGAGCAAGGCAACCCCAGATGTGGAACGCAGACGCGTCACCGGGGGACTCGGTCCAAAGGAGGGTTGGTGAAACTTGCGGCCACTGGGAGCGTGGCCACAGGTTAAGCTGGTGAGCCGCGTAGCGAACAGCGAACGGCCACATAAAATGGGGGGCATCGGCATGAATCATGGAGGTACGGGCGACCTCCATGACCAAGCCGATGCGGCGCTCAGCAACCCCATTCTGCTGTGGCGAGTCCGGCAAGGTGTACGACTGGGTGATGCCCTCCGCACGACAGAACTGTCCAAGCCGACCAGAGGCGAACTCGCCGCCACGGTCAGAGTGGAGACACAACACGGGGAGACCGCGGTGAAGACGCGCAGCCACAACCCACGGGAGAAGAACGTCGGGCACGTCGGCCTTCCGCTCCAGAGGAAACACCGTGGTGTAGCGCGTATAGTCATCGATGAGCACAAGAAAGTAGCGCTCACCGCGCGGTCCGGGGACGGGGGCTGGGCCCCAAACGTCCAGGTGCAGGGTATGGAGGGGAGCAGTAGCAGGGCAAAGCGAGGAGGAGTGAGGGGCACGGCGGAGCCGGCCCTCGACGCAAGGCGTGCACGGTGGCGCAGTCAAGGGGGGAAGTGCGGGGAGTGACTCGGGGAGGCCTAAGACCAGACCGTGCTGAGACATGTGACGCAGGTGCGGGAGAGCAGGGTGACCTAATCGGTGGTGGCACAGAAGGGACGGGTGTGTGAGGGACCGACACGAGCAAGCTGCAGCGACCTGGGAGGACGCACCAACTGGGGGGGAAGCGGTGTCGAGGGTAAACAGACCGGACACCGGGTCCCGGGGGAACGTCGCAAGGGGGGAACCTGAGACTGCCTCGGTACAGACAGCGAACCGCTCGTGCCCAGGAAACGTAGTGGTGACGCCGAGGTCCTGAAGACGGCCGACACCAACCAGGTTCCTGGAGAACGAGGGAACGTGGAGGCCTGTAAGAGAGCCCGAGGGAACGGCTGGACAGGGAAGGGAAGTGGAGCTGCGAGCGACGACAGGACCGCGGAGGGGTCAGCGAGAGCGACAACAGCAGGCGCAGCAAGCGGCATGAGCATGGAGCGGTCACGGAAGAAACAGGCAGAAGCACCGGAGTCGAGAGTGAAGGACAGCGAGGCAGTAGCGGAGGCCGGGAACGTAGCCGGTGCAGAAACTAGGCTAGGCAAACTAGGCAGTCCTACGCCTGACGCAGCAGGGGAGGCTAAGCTACACAAGGGTGCTACGCCTAAACTAGAGTACACAGGGTAATAAGATCCAGCAACACTAGAAGTGTCAGCATACAAGGCATGCAAAGCAACACCTATCTGATCCATATCTAAATCAAAGATCGGCACGCCCTGGCGAAGCAGGCTGTGCCAGTCGAGGAGG